TACATTTTGCAAACAAAGATTTAAAAAAAAAAAAAATTAAATCTTTTTATGCCCCTCCACCTGGCACTACACCTGGCAATGTCTCATAAAGACGTTCTTCATCACTTCACCTTTGACCTCGTTGGTTTGACCTATTTAATCCTCCTAAGAAATCAGAGAGATGACCTGGTTGTGATCCCTGCAGGGGCCGGGATGAAGATGTCCTGCTCCTTGTAATTTGCTGAGATTGGATCAAGATATCGACTTGCTCCCTCCCTTCTTGGTCATCCCATCGCCATAGAAACGGACCACCTGGTCACTGTGAAGTGTCATGTGATATGAGTCCAATCAATGGAATTGGAGTAAGATGGATGCAAACATGAGAGATCATTGACATGAATATTCATGAGCCTTGAAATTCTAGCTTCTAATGGGTTGAATGCAACTGTGATTCTGAAGACACAACTTCATTATCTCAGACATAATTGTGGAACAGTCTCCCTAACACACTTAAGGACTGTAAATCAGTAGATAGTTTCAAGGCCAGCCTGAAAGCATATCTAATGGCCAACTTTAACTAATATCATCTTTTTTCAACTATGTATAATGTAATGTAAGCAAAATTGTACCTAAGTATATTATGTAGCTCATTGTAAGCGCCTTGAGCACCCTCTGGGTGGATATGTTGCGCGTTATAAATGTCTGTATTATTATTATTATTAACTTGTAAACAATAATAGAAACAGGAATCATTTTCTCTTCTAGAATGGCTTTCAGTCATTCAAATAATTGATGTTTCTCAATACTTTTTTGTTTTTGTTCGGTTTTGTCCGGGTCATTACCCTTCCAAAGGAACAGTGAAAAAAATACACGGGGTCTCGGGGCGAAGTAGCCCCCGAAATGCCAAAAAGAGCCCCCGAAAGTCATAAAAGAGCCCTCAAAAATGTGCATAGAGTTCAATGCAAAAAAAATTAAAAATTGTTATTTTCATGCTAGCAAGCTTGAAAAGTAGCCCCCGAAATGTTTAAAGTATTTTTTTCCCTGCAAAGTAAGTCTGTAATTTGAGCTCGATTGTAAAGGCTTCTAAGTATTGGAGAGAAGACCTGACAGAGAGAAAAAAAATGTGTATTTCATACCTTTTGCAAATATGATATTACCTAGAATTACATAATATTAACATACCAGAAATGCCTTTTGGTCATTTCCTTTCTGTGCACATTGTTACCATTTCTGTCTTATTGTATCTCAAAGTAATGAAGATGATTGAGGGCTTCTCTTTGATCTAACAGCCGGTGGTTTCATACTTCCTTAGCATGGCCGGCCGGCCGTGATTCTCTCATAGTCCCACGTGTGCACTAATCAAGCAAATTTGAGGCTAGGTGCAGTTGTTGGAAGTCTTCACTCAGAGAACGAGGCTGGCAAGAATGTAATTTCCAGAGGGACCCAGAAAAGAATTAGGTCGGTGTCTCTCAGACCTGCCTTTGAGGTTTGCCGAATCTCCCAGATTTGTTAGTTTTTAAATAGGATGGTAGTGGGATATGTGTCATGAAATTGTGTTCTTCCTGTGTAGATATATGGAGTGTTGTATTGAATTGAATGAGAGATGATTGTATTGTGTTTTCAAATTACAATTTTACTTGTTTGTGATTTATGATGCAGTGATATGAAGTTCCTGGCATAATTTTATTATGATTGGTGCAAAACATAGAAATTAAAAAGAAAAGTCTTTTGATGTAATACAGTATGTAATAAACATGATTTGTACAGCTTACAAATCTTGTTTCCAATTGGTCATTACACATTACTTTGTTTACAATGTTTTGCATCGGTACATTGTTCAAAGCAACAATTATTCTAAACTGCTGAAATAATTCTTTGATAATTTCACTTCTTTGTCTAAATTTTAACATTAATGTTATGCTCCTTTTACAAAATAAGTAAATTTGAAGCACTATTAGAAGTACTGTGTATTCACAAAGTTTGTTTTTATTAATAAACATGTATGTAAATGACAAATACCATTTATCAGAACAGGTTGAAAACTGGCTAAACATTCACTGAGAAGATAATTCTTTTCATAAGTGGCCTAGTTTTATGAACCACCCTGTATATCTCATGATCGATAGAGAGTGAAGCTCCCAGGTCTCTTATTCCTCTGTGGTTTGTTGAGATTTGTTGATCTGTATATTGGATTAAATTCTTCTAGTTACTATTTTCATAGTCTCTAGAAGCAGATATATACCCTGCCTCCTCATCGGAGCAATCTTGTGATATCTCGTTGAAACACATCATCTTTTATGTCATCAGAGTTGTTAAGATGACAGATGCATTTAAAGGATCACTTAAACATGGAGTGAATCTTTGCAGAAGTTTTTTGGCAACTTGTTAGCAGATCTGTTAGAGTTTCTACAAATTATATGTATTTTAGTTTGCATACAAATTAGAGTTCAGGTATATTTAATTATGATGTATTGAATATATTATCTCTCTGGGCATATCATTGTGCAGGCATTTACACATTTAAATTGCAATTGTAGAATTTGATGATATGATTATCTGAATACATTCTATAGATTCATTGGCACCAATGGTCAAAGGATTTTGTAATAAATTCATCATAAAATTTAGGTGAAAACTGAAGAAATATCTGAGTTATCTCCACTTTTTGGAAGAAAACTCTGAATTAGGTTGACTCCTATGTCTTCACATTCATTATGTGAAGAATGGTGCAAATATTAGTTTGACCTTAAAGGAATATTGATAGGGGCGACGAAGTGATTTAATCAAGCTCTTATATGGGGTAAGGAGAGGATGATGGATCATAAGCAATTAAGAACCTATTTCAAGATCATATGACATCAGAAAGCAAATGTGATCCATCCATGAGCAATCTTACACCCCATGATTGCATCTTAGGTTTGCTTTAAGAATAATAATGATATCCATCAGGAGCATTTTGTATTATAGTAAAATGGGTGTCTATATACTGTGGGAATGACCAAGTCATTGCTAATTGGTGATACACAGTATAGTGTCATAAATTGGATAGACAAAATATTCAAGACTCAAACAATTAGAAATTATAGGCCTTCAAGGGCCTTATTATGTATATCTCAAGGTTAAAGTTCATATTGTCTGCAAATGGATTTTTGTGAATTATTTCTATAAGAGCAGGCTGACAAGCATCTTCATTTAATAACAGATATATTCTTCTGGTCTGTAGGAACAGCAAGTAATCCACTGTAAAACCTAACTGTCGCCTCCACACATTTGCTCTTGTAAGAGTTTTAATATATTATTAATGGTTAGCGTTTTTGTAGACACAAAGTTCATCAAGTACTTCACAGGATGTGTCCTTTCTCTCCCTCTCTATTTACTCTTGCTGTCTGTGATGTCATAATGATGTCACACATACAATAAATGTGTGTTTTCAGAGGATTTAGTGTCACCTGTGCATGACGTTTGGGCCATTCTAGAAGCTGTCTGTAGTGCAGCAGCAGACGTGACATGGGTGTATATTAAGTCTTGTAAATGTGTTTTATATTTATCGTTTATTTAGTGGAAGGAAAAAGAACAAATAGAGAAAAGGGCCGGTACTTTTTACATAATGCTCTATTTCTGCACTCTATTTAATACATCTTTTGACCTATTTATTGGAGGATATTTAGGAAGACCATGTCCAGATGTGGACAGAAATATCTTCTTAAATATAATATTTTTAAAAAATGATTAGAAGACGGGGCATATGAAATGAATTAACAATCATATAATATATGATGCCGAGCCCGGAGGATTTAAACTCAAACTAAGTAAACATATACATGTATATATCATGTTTTGTTCCCTTACTAATTTGTTGTTATTATTTCTGTAATGCAACCAAAACTCGAGGTTGGATTTCAAATAAAAATACAAATACAAACAGAAAGATAACAATAGTAGAAATAATGTATACGCAGTCAAAGAAACTGTAGAGGCTGATACATAATAATGTGCTACAATCAATCATTACTCATTATCAAATAAATCAATGTAAGCTCATGAGTATAATATTTCATAATGATTGAATTTAACATCATGAATAATTAGGGTAGGTATGTCTATAAATTGAGCAGTTCATAATGATATTGATAATAATACTGGATAAAAAAAATGAAACAGGTCACAAACATTACATAGATTCAGAATCAAGTTGTGAGTATTGGTACCATGTAATTTTACTATATTTATCCCTTTTCTGTACATGGCTAAGGTTGATCTATAAATGATATTGAGGAAGTATGTAATATACTATATCTGAAAGAAAAGAAAGCAATATCTCAGTCACTATGGCATTGTATAAAGTATGTAGGATGCAGCTTGAAGTACTTTATAAAAATATAATGGTTTTAACTATAGAGGGCACTATTCTACTTCAGCTCAGAGATACTTGAAGTTCATCACATACCCATCAGTATACATATCATTGTTCATACCTGTTTGTATATGGTAGAACATTCTAATTTGATCATTTCAGGGAATGGGGTTGTACATAATACTAATGCATATCAATTTAAATCTAGACTTGTCAATTTTCATTTTCTGTATCACTCTGTGAGTCCTCAGCCCCCCCCCCCAAAAAAAAAAGATAAAAGGTGAGAAGTTTTCATATTCAAATCTCTCTCTCTCTCTCTCTCTCTTTCTTTCTCTCTTTCTCCCTTTCTCCCTCTCCATCTCTCTCCATCTCTCTCCAACTCTATTTGTCTGTTGCTGTCCCATTCTCTCTCTTCCTGTATCTTTATTTTATAAAGTTTGTATTAGTGTATTAGTATTTTATTACATGAACAAAATGTACTTTTTAAAAGTTTATGTAGAAAATGTAAATCCCACCCCTGGTCTAAAGGCAGCATTTTGCATTTTATGAGCTACCATTCAAGACTGAATTTTGAATTTTTCTTTTTGGGGGGACCAAACTCTAGAATCATTTGTGGGATAACTAACAAATTCTTCTTTCTACTCTTTTTTTTTCTCCCTCTTTGCAGGAGTACATGCGCATCATGCCACTGTGGTAGAGAAGACCATGACATCATACATGATAATCTAGTTACTGTTTTTGAGAGATTAAATATTCCAATTGAGGACCATGCTCAGCTACAGAGGACTAAAGAGAAGGCTCTGGCCCTTGGCTACTCATGGGTCCCACAAGGCCTATCTGTTACTAAGGTAAGTACTCTTTAGGTCTGTTTTCATCAGCTCGAGTTTGCCAAATAACTCACTATTTTCAGACTTGGGATATTATCCCGAAGCTCAAAATTGCGTCTCCACCATATGCTCATCACAAACTAGCTCGGACGGGATATTTTGGAAGCAAGACCAAGATTTCTCAGGATATTTTCTTGACCGAATATCCCGCTAATTGCAACTGCGGGCTGATGAAGACGCAAATTAACTGGCTAATTTTCGATCAGGATAGTTAAAATAGCAGGTTATTTAGCAAACTAGAGCTGATGAGGACAGGCCTACTCTTTCTGTCGCTTCCTCCTCCCTCTCCCTCTCCCTTTGTCACTTTTCTTATTCTTCTTTGTGCTGTCACAAATCTATGTCATATTTTGAGTTATCTTGTATATTTCAGGTTAATATCATGTTAATGGTTCTGAAAATTTGCTGAAGAACACTGGGGCCAATAGAAACAAAAATTTAAATGTCTTTTGACATACCATTTTTACAGTACTGAAGCAGATTTTACATTGTTTTATTTGTCATGAATGAAATAAAAGAAAAGAGCTTGAATCATTCTTAAAGGCAGGCTTTTCTAATTTATTCATCTATTTTACTCTGTTTGTTCAGTAAGTGAAGCTTTACGGTACAAGTGTTTCAGGCAATAATTGAGGTGGGGGAGGGTATAAGACTGATAAAGAGAAAAATTTGTTGATTTAATCATTTTTGATTACTGATGATTTTTTTTTTTCTCTGAAAATACTTTACTGTAAAACAAGAGAATAATATGCAGTAGGTTTACAGCACACATGGTGCAACCATGAACCTACTGTATATCTACATCATCATGCAAGTCAATACTTAAAAGCAGCATGTAAGAGCATAATATTTCATTAGTTCTTTACTATCCTTTTTTTTGTTTGTAGATTGAGGATTTCATGAATTCATTACCCAATAATCAAATTCCAAGACTACATACACCTGGTGAGAAGTACCGAGACAGGCAGCTGATCATTCAGATACCCAAACAAGATGTCTCGGAGGAGTTCTGTCATTTCCTCGGTGATGCGGCTACCAATGAAAGCTTCACGCAATTCCTAGAGCTACGAGATGAAACAGCGTTCGGGATCGGCAAAGTCAAAGACTATTTACCTCAAGATACAGTGAGAACCATTTACATGTCTCAACTTATAATCACGTCTTATTTGCTGAAAGGAATTTCTTAGTAATAGTTTTAAAAATGCTCTGAAAAATTTGTTTGCAACTTCTCAAATAGTAGGTCATACTTGTATTTTTTAGTGCAATGTGATTGTTGTAGGCAGTGCAATTAAATATTAGCGATGCCCTTTTCTCCTCTAGTTTGCATATTCTAAACTTACCTAAAGAGAACATCATAATCATATTGCAAATTAATCTTTAACCAGCATAATATGACAGTGGATGTGTATAAATAAAGGTCATTTACTGTCAACATGAAATTATGTCTGTGATTGACTCTTGTAATTTGTTACTTTCTAGATTAAGCCACTAATGTCCTTTGGCAAGGCGTTAATGTACATTTGCCACTCTCCACCCAGGTTTTGAATGGTTACCCGGTAGGATGCAAAAGTTAATGTGGTTGGATGAGCAAATGGCACTTGTAAAATGGCGACTGGCCGAAATGCTCCCCAGGGAGTGAAGAATGTGCATACACTGTGTGCAGGTAAGCCTGAATTTGATGACCGGGGTAATGATATGTACTGCACCTAGAAACAAAGTATTAGGTGCATTATAGATGTGAGCTATTATTATTATTATTTTAATTGATGTATTTGTTTCTTTGTCAGGAATGTTTCAAGTGTGGTGGAGAGATAGAAGCAGGAGAGATTGGTATCTTTGTGGATAAGATGGAAGAGGAGGCTTGCTGCTGGCATCCATTCTGTTTTACCTGTAATACATGTGAAGAACTACTGGTTGATACAGGATACTTCTTCAGGGATGGACAGATCCACTGTGAACGGCACTATGCAGAATCCATAATGCCCCGCTGTGCCTCATGTGATGAGGTGAGTTCACATATGATGACTGTTTGTGTTGATGTGACGAGCTTGAGGGGAAGGAGGTAATGTGATGTTGATGACTGGAATCAGTCATAGGGCTGCATTCTAGAAAACATATATTTATCTAGAATTAAGTGGTTGACACTAGACCTTCCCGAATTCAGTGGACTAAATAAATTAAGACCACTTTCAAAAGTAATGCACCGGTAATGATGTTGCAATTGATAAAATTTGTGAGAAGAAGGATTATGTTGTCATGATGATGAGTGATGATAGTTACGATGATGATTATGACTGTGATGACTGTGGAGATATATTGATGAAGATGATAATGGCTTTTTTATGGCACTGGTATCCGCCTCTGTACTCATAGCGGTTAATTGCTCTTTAATGTCTGACAAACTTAACTGTCCTTAGTCAATGTGTCAGTTTAAAAGTTTTAAATGTTTATTTCCTGTGATACTCTTTGTTGGCACTTATAATGTTCTGGTAGCTTTGCATTAAGAAATATTACTAACAAAGATGATGAGGAAAACTGCATTTTTATTTGGGTAAAACAGTCATCCCTGTATTAAACAGTATCAGCTTTGAGTAATACATTGAACCAGTATACTTCAGTATAAATAGCATGTTAGCTATGAATATAGTATTACCCCAGTAGGTGTGTTGGTCTTCATCGTGCAAGCTGGATGTAGGGGCGTTGAAATGGATAGTCTATGAGGGAGATTTATCTTTCTGCAATGCTGCCCTCTAGTGACAACAAAGTCCAACTTTTAAAAGTTTGCCTGAACAAACACCGCTTGATAAAATATGATAGAGAAGAGAAGTGAGCACCTGGAGTAGTATGGGAAGAAGAGAGAAGTTTCACGGAGAAGCAGTATTAACCTTTCCAGTTTCCAGGTTAATATGGAGGAGAGCATCTCTGCCCTAGCTGTTTACACCTTCCCTATGATCCCATGGGACTTCTAACGTGTCATTTGATATAAGAATGTTGTTGAATCTGTTAATTAGAGCGTTGAGTCTCAGTGGTATGATGATGATGATGAGAGCGTAGGTGTTCAGGGAGGGGTTACCATAGTGTCTTGGGGATGTAGTCCTCTAAATCGATTTATCCAGCTGCTCTCTGACATTTCTACATTTTCGTCACATTACAGATTGTCTGGAGTTCTCTCACCTTAGCAATGATAATATACAGATTTCATTTTTTCTTCTTTCTTTTTTCATTTTTAATGTAAAATGTTTGCTACACACTGAAAGAAATTGCCCTGTTGAACTATTTTGCTCAATCTTGTCTCAATTGTAATTAAATTTTGAATATAGAAGTTTTCTGTAATAAAGCATTTCCGTGTAGGGTATTTTTTTTCATATAAATTTACAATGAGTTAATGCCCTTCAGAATCAAATACAAATTATTCTGTCTTACTTCTACTTATTATATTTTCCTTGTCTTTGCATAATAATTCTTAGAGTAGTAATCTTTGATCCCTCATATCTTTACCTTACTTTTCATATTTCTTTTTTGATATCATCAGTACGGAAAGTGATGAATAAGTGATAAGGTTTGTAGGGTTTAATCAAGATGTATTTATGGATAATGCTTAACTAACATTCCGCATCACTATTTTAAAAAAAATATTTATTACCATCTTCTTATAAGTACATGTATTTGTTTGTTCTTTGGTACATTTTAAAGTATGTTATTGCTCCAAACCATTACCGTTATTCTAAACTTAGCATGTCATTATTGGATCAGGGAAAGTATTAAACATACTCATTGCATCTGTGTTAATATCTAATCATCTAGTATTCTCCTATAAATACAATGAAATGTGTTAATTGTTGGTAGGAAGAGGCTATACCCTAAATCCCTAAGCTACACTGGTACATTATTTTTAATGGAGAAACCAGCTTCCCCATTTTGTAGGTTAGGATAAACAAGGCTATAGCAATAATCACCAACACCATGGATCAATTAACCTGTTTATTAGGAGGCCAAACATTTTGATATCAATTAGTCTTGAGTCTGTTGATGAGGAAATGATGATCGTGGAATGAGGTCCCATGTGGGTAGGAGGGAATAATTGTGACCACCCACAAGCTATACTCAAGAAAAACACCTGTCCTTTGTATGCTCAATTATTGATTGGACCTACATAATTAATTATAGAGAATGATATTATAAATTCATTTTCGATCATGTCTATCTACTGAAGATGTTGAATTACTATTTCAACTCTGCTGACTAGCTTCAGTCCCAGACATAGACTGTTATGTTTCAAAATCTTTAAATCCTTGTTACTCTGAATGATCATTTTATGTATTATATATATCTAGTCTGTGTCGGTGGATGAAGAATCTAATTTATTATTAGTGTCTGTTAGATATAAAATGTATTGTATGTTCGTCATTAGCCCTTATCATTTTACACACGGTTACTCCCCTTGAAGCTCCAAACAGTTGGAATAACTCTGCTCGTACATTTCACAATTATACCAATTATATACGTAAAAACCTATCACTTTGCATAAGAGAGAATACCATACCAGTAAAAGTAGGAGCATTAAATTGATTTCACATCCAAAATGAATCTTACGATTCTTGTATAATCCCGATAATGCAAAGTGCGGAAGTTACAAGTGCGAATCCCATTTTCTTAAAGACAAAGAGACAAAAAGACAAGATACAGAGGTCTCTCTGCATCTTTCTTTTCATGAAGATTTATGTCATCATTCTTTAAACGTGATACTAATTGATAGTGTGAACAGAGTGTAGGAGTTCCAAAGGGAGGATAAGATGCTGTTCTATTCCAGTCCTTCCATCCATCCATCCATTACTCTAGAACATCTCAATCATCCTAACCTAGGAACAATCAAATGTCACAAGTCATATCTAACTCAGAGCACAGTCTGGATAGTAATGAACCATAATCATGTCATGTGATGATCAAGGATGAACTGTGATTGGTTGGTTCTAGTCATGTGATGTTAAGTTGGACGTATGATTGGTTAGTTTTCTCATGTACATGCAATACAGAGTTAAAGTCTGATGTTAAGATTGAAGCACGATTGCACTTTGATGATTTGATTATGACAGTTTGATGGTTTATTCACATGGGTAAACGCTTATTATTGTATCATATCCTTTGCTTCCTTTATCATATTTTGACTTACCACTTCTGACTTATCCCCACTGCAACTTTTCAAATCACAGAAGATACATTTTAATTAGCCCAAGATATATACTTTTAGTAATTATGATCAAGGGAAACTAGATAATCAATAAATAGCTGGCTAGTTAAGACAAGTGGCTCAAACATAGTTTACAATGTAGCTAGAGTTTTTTTGGTCAAGTTCGTGAAATTACCCACTATTTGTCCTTGATGAACCCTGCCTTCATGTATATCAATGTACATCCCTGTTTTGTACATACACACGTTTGAAATGCTTCCAGCTTGGTAGTAAGGGGGTTAATGAAGCTCATCTCTTGTGTCATACATGCACACGTATGACCTTGACCCTGATAGATAGTTGTGGTGTCATGCCTGGTCAAATACTTGACAAATAGACCTCCAAAGACTGCAGGAGGTTAATTGGTTATTAGTCAGTCAATTCTGCACCTTCTATATATATATATATATATATATATATATATATATATATGTACATGAAATACCAACATTGAATTTCATTAAATACTGCAATGTTAACTTTTTGAAAAACTAAGCGTGAGATATTTGGGGTATAGAACTGTGAACATTGCATATTATATTAAATTGAAATCATAATGAAATGATAGATTGAAAGGGCTGTCAAGTTTCTTTCTTTTAGAGAGATGAAAAGAAATCTGTACTTTGTTTTACTTATAAAATGAAGTTGTCTGCTTGTATGGTTGTCTACCTCTACGTTTGTTTTCCCCTCTGGTTGTTTTTAGATATCTTTGCTTTTTGTCTTTTGATTTATCTAAATTTTGGGTTGAATTACTTGTATTATCGGGTATTCATATTTAAGAATTAATATATCACTCACTATGACTCATGAAGTCATATATCATACCACTCTCCGTATCTTTCTATCCATCCATCTATGTCTCTCTCTCTTTCTCTCTCCCTCTTTCTCCTGTCCCTCCCACCCTTCTCTCACTCTCTATCTCCCCTTTCCCTCAATCTATCCTTTCATCCCCTCCCTTGCTCCCTCTCTTTCTCTTTCTCTCTCTCATTTTTCTGCCCTATCCCCCTCTCCCTCCCTATCCCTTCCTCCCTATCCCTTCCTCCCTCCCTCCTTCAATCCCAAGTCTCTTTCCTTCCCTCTCTTTCCCCTCTCCTAGATACCATACATGTATCACATTCTCCCCTTCCTTTGATACAAGCCCAAAGCCAATCTGCTCATGTTGTGCAGTTATTTGTAAATCAAAGTTGATTAACTCAAGATAGAACAGACTTCATGTAGGCTAGCTAGCCACTGCCCTTAACCAGGGAACCAAGGATGTGTGAGGCAACCATCTTTGCACACTACCCTAAGCTCAGACATTATGCTCTCTCTCTCTCTCTCCTGCCGTGGTCGTACAGTCTTCCCATCACAACCCTTTCTCAATCTCATGCTCATTAACTTTGCTACATGTAGGAGTAGGATATTATATGAATGATGGAGATTTGCAACATTTAGCATCGGTATGCAATCATGGATCATTAAATAAATCAGTCATGTGATCCTTACGTTATAGTGAGGTATGAGAAAGGAGTCTGAATCATGACTATGAGACCCTGCACTTCTCTCCTCTCAAGCAAGAGGTCCCCTTTTGCACCCGGCACTAAAGAGTCCGGGTTGGTATCCAATCGCTACCTCCACCACTGCAAGATGCATCATCCCTCATGCTCCCTCGTGTGTCTGGTAGAGACTCGTAAGGAGTATGTGATAGGAGAGTCATCCTTCTTATACACCTGCTACAAAACAAAAGAAAAGAGAGGGTCGCGGTGTGCAAAGAATCTGATGATAAAGTCATTCCTTGGA